TTTAAGACGCGATATGGGCATTTTGAGTGGGTAGTTATGCCTTTTGGCCTCACCAATGCCCCGGCCACCTTTCAGGCGGCCACCACCGAGTTTCGCGCTATGTTGGACCGTTTCGTCTTGGTCTACTTAGACGACATCCTCGTCTATAGCCGAACTCTAGAGGAGCACCTCGAGCACCTTCGCCGTGTTCTAGAGACTCTTCGGTCAGCCCGGTACAAAGCTAACCGCGACAAATGCGAGTTTGCCCGGGAAGAGCTTGAATACTTGGGTCACTTTGTCTCTCCGGAAGGCATCCGTCCGTTGGCGGACAAGATTCAAGCCATCCAGGAGTGGCCCGAGCCGAAGAATGTGACGGACGTCCGATCCTTCCTCGGCTTGGCCGGTTATTATCAGCGCTTCATCAAGGGTTACTCAAAGATCGCGGCCAACCTAAGCAAGCTACGAAGTGAGGAGCGCCCTTTTGACTTCGACGACGATGCGCGCCATTCTTTTGAAACTCTCAAAGCGACACTCTTATCCGCCGAGGTGTTACATATTTACGACCCGCTTCTAGCTACGCGCGTCACTACCGATGCGTCGGGCTATGGCATTGGGGCCGTCCTTGAGCAGCACGACGGCACGGACTGGCACCCGGTCAAGTACTTCAGCAAGAAAGTACCTCCCGTACATTCGATCGACGACGCACGGAAGAAGGAGCTTCTTGCGTTCGTCCACGCTCTCAAGCGTTGGCGACATTTCCTCCTTGGTCGGAAAGCATTCCGATGGGTAACGGATAACAATCCGTTCGTATTCAACAAGTCGCAAGACACGATTAACAGTACCATTGCCTGATGGATGACTTTCATCGACCAGTTTGACTTTTTCCCCGATCACATTCCCGGGAAGTCAAACCGTTTTGCGGACGCCCTCTCACGGCGACCGGACCACTTTCGCGACAAGTACGCAAATTGCTCCTCTCCGCATCCGGTGCCTTCGCATTATCGGATCCAAGAGGGCTACTTACTTGTGCATTCACGAGGTAAGGATCTTCTTTGTGTGCCGAGTGATTCACACTTGCGCACACGGCTTCTTGGCGAGTTTCATGATACGCCCGCCTCCGGACATTTTGGTGTCAACCGTACACTTGGCCGACTTCGCCAGCGGTTCTATTGGCCCGACCTTCTCAAGGACGCCACCCGCTATTGTGAGTCATGCGAAGTTTGTCGGCGTTGCAAGTCACACAACCATCGTCCGTTCGGCGAGCTACACCCATTACCAGTACCCCTTGGGCGACGGGAAGCGATCGCTATGGATATCACCGGCCCCTTCCCAAAGCACAAGACCGGCGTTGATGGGATCTTCACGGTCGTCGACCGCCTCACCAAGTACGCCATGTTTGTGCCTTGCCGCTATCACGCAAAGGCACCAGAGTTAGCCGAGGTCCTATACACCGGTTGGATCCGCTCCAAGGGCTACCCCAAGGAGATCGTTTGCGACCGGGACACTCGCTTTCTCTCTGACTTTTGGGTCGCCCTCGTCAAACGATGGGGCTCATCGTTGAAGCCGAGTTCGGCTCGCCACCCGCAAACCGACGGTCAGACGGAAAGGGCGCATCAGACCGCTCAAGTCCTCCTACGCACTCTCATCCGTCCTGACCAGGTTGATTGGGTCG